ATAAGCAGAAGAAATGGATGGATGGATGATCCAAAGAGAAACATTAAAGGCCCTCTCTCTCCCACAACAAGAGCTGCTACAAGTTTAAAGTAAAAGGCTCAATAACCTGTTGGGCTTGGAACCTTTCTTGCTTTGCCTTTAACTTAGCATTTTTCTGACAGACTAGTGTCTGGTTAGCTTCATTCAAACGTCGAGCAGCAGTATGATCATCTTCACCACATCTAAAGCTGAACCACGCTTTTGTCAGACAGGGAACCTTAACAGGTCTCCTGCCACTGCTGTTTCTTGCCATTAAGTAATCTTTGCCATCACTGTTATTTTCTTTAGGACATTTCTGGTACCGAGCGAGCTCTCTAAGTTTCTTAGACAACTCATCTGTCTTATTTTAAAGTTTAACAGTTTGTTTTCTCTGTTTTAACGCTGCACGAAGCTCACTGTCAAAAGGAGGATTCATGGACCTTTGGCTCAGTTTCTCTACTTGCTTTGCAAGCTTATCCACTCTCCTTTCAAGCTTAGATGCCTCGCTCTGTTTTTGTAGTCTGGTACTGGTCTGTGAGTCGTTTGGTACCGGGCCGTGAGAGTTGAGGCTCAGGTGTGAAATGTAAGGTTTTCAGGGTTTTTATCGGTTTTCACCGTTATTTTGTTATCGTTTTTATCGTTAACTCTGTGTTCATGGGTCTTTTCACGTGTGTTATGAATAAATCTTTTTTTTCGGTACTGGTACTAGTTTTATTTTGTTGTATTTATCCGCGACACCTTAAAGGCCGGTCTGTGAAAATATTGTCGGGCATAAACTGGTCCGTGGCGCAAAAAAGGTTGGGGACCGCTGGTCTACATTAAAGCATCTGCAAACATACAATGTCCAACTCAATGCGGTTGAGAAAAATGAAAAGGTGGGTGTTGTGAGCTGGAAAGTCAAGGTGCTACTATCGTCCAATCTCCTGGCTGGCTCTCCACTTGTAACTCAATCTGTACTTACACCAAAGCTTTAATGCTTGGAAATCAGGACTGTTTGTATCATCAATTTCACCACAATGTTTTATCCCCCCCCCCAAAAAAAGAAAGAATCACAATTTCTATAGAGAGAGGTTACAAGAATTGAAATGTGTCCCAAATATCTGTAACCCATCAGAGGCTAGTTTTGTAAAGGAGTTTGGTAGTAGCTGCTCCACCATAGGAACAGTAAGACC